AGTATTAAAACAGTTAAATATAAAGGGGACATAAAAAGGTTGTGGTGCTATTTCTGCAACAAAGAAAATGTTCATATTCACCTAGCAACCACAAAAAGTAGCCCTCACCAAGGATTTGCATAATACCCACAATGTTTCGTTGCCTAGGGGTTTTCTGTTTGGCTGTTTGGGGGTTTTTTGAATAAAGAGAAATTTTTATAACAAACTTATTTTTGTCTGAATTGTTTCTGCAAAAACACCTTTTTGACCAATAAGAGATGTATTATATTCTTCAAGTACCCAAGATGGGGCTCGTTTTCAGTCTTGGTAAGAAAAAACACCAGCCAGGTAGCCTATGTTCATGTCACTGTCCACCAGCCATCAGGTCAATCATTCCAAGGTTTTAGGAAAACTTAAGATAACTCCATATCCATTATCTGCTCTCCAGTTCAACTTGCTGCCATACAGTATACAATCTATTTCCACTTAACTGTTTGAACACTTCTATCCTGATGTACTGTTAGCTTTACAAATATGGAGAGATTCTATTCCACTCCACCAGTTAACCACTCCTGGACCTTTTTAAAACCAGAATGGCTCAGTAGCCATAAAGGGACCAAGACAACCTTGAAAATTAATACTTCTAACATCATGCAGTACAGCATGCATGACCCTTTTTTGCCCCCCCCATTTTTATACCATACATTACAATTACGTGCATATATGTCCTTTTTCTTGAATCTCTGACTGCCATTTACACTAGCAAACTGAATCTTCATTCAAATGGACCAGAACCAGTAGAAGCTGAACAATACACTGTAGAAACACTACATATGTATATCTGCTATGTATCCATACACTTGGGATATGGATGTATCCTGGGTACTGATCCCATGGTTTTAAGTGCAAACTCCTTTCAGCAGAGTCCAGGAAAATTGTGGAGTAAAAAGTTCAGCGTTCTAGCTGTCCTCCAACAAATGGCATCAATTTCTAAATCCTTACCATAAAATAGAAGGCAGGAATCAAAGCATGGTTAATTCAAGAGACTCCCACTGCAATTGAATCCAAGATTAGCTTAATTACAGGCTACACCTTACTTTCAAAATCAAGTTTACTAGAATTCAGGCAGCTGAACAATACCAAGAGGTATTTTGCAATGCAAGGGACGTTCCTGTGGTGTAATCTCAGGCATGCCCAGGCAGTGTGAAAAAGCAATGTTTCTTGCTCATGTTACTTGTTACTTTGGCTGTGTACATGGCACTAACATAAACGAGAAACTTGGAAATTAGTTAAGTTTCCTTAGAGCATGAAATAACATTCTGTTTCACTTCAGCGCTAACCAAAGGCAAACAATTATTAATGAGGGGATGCTAAGCCTACTGTAATGCTGCTGGATTTTGCTTCTCTGTCTGGGATTCCTATCGTGCACTTCTCCAAGTGGTATCATTTATGCAGCATGATGGGGATGAAGACTTAGTTAATCAAATGCTTTGAAGTGAAGTGCTTTCAAAGGCTCAGGTTAGGAGTTATGTCAAGCACCAAATCTGCTTTCCCCTAAAAGGAAAAAACTGTTGTAATAGGTGAAAGGTAAGGTCACTCTGTACACTTTCTAGTAATCCCTATGAGTATATCTACTCTCACCTACCATTTTAAATACCAACTACACTTCCTAGCAGGAACTGAAGGGCTGAAACAAGGTAAGCGTCTGTGTGTCCAAAAGCAGGTGCCTTAAATTCAATTTTTTCTAGACCTCCACACTTGCATTTTTCATTCTAGTTTTTCTTATAACTGTCCGATTAAATAATTACTGGCTACAAGCACTAAGTTAGCTTCATTTCATTCCAGCATTACTCTGCTGTTCTCAATGGGAAAAAAAAAAAAAAAAAATCAGGCAGGGAGTATAAGAAGGTGATCTTTGTTCATTGATCGTTGCGAGGCATTAAAAAGACTCTGAAGCTGTGACCATTTAAATGCCAAGAGCATTTAACAAGTAGCCAAAACACAAGTACACAGCTGGTGTCATAGACACTTAATTATGAGTGGACAGCTGGATCTAATGTTGATTTGACTCCAAGGACTCATTCAGAAGAAAACACTAAACCAAAACTAGACCCAGACACACTGTGACAGCTCTTGGGACTTAAGAAGTTAAATTGTAGCATTTAAAACTCCTTTATTACATCTTTTTTTTTTTGCAATGTGTAGCATCTGAGTCGCATTCTTTGGCATGCAATGGGGCCAGAGGACACCAACTCTTTCTCTCTCCAACAGAAATTTGCATGGATAGATTCAATTCTCTCACACAGAGTTCTAGGTTTTACCTTTTGGCATCATCAAATACATGCAAGTATGGCCCTAACAAGGCTGTTTTAAGCTATACAAGTTTGACAGTATCCTTCTCCACATCTCAGAGCTCTTCTGTTCCTTCTAGTAGACAACCAAACTGATTATCCTCTTAGTATTCAGCATGATAAGCTATCGCACAACCAAGCAGTAGGCTCAAAAGGGATACCAGCTGTCTTGATCACAGCTGCAGTACTGAAGAGGACTGTAAAGCAAGTATGTCAGGAGGAGTGCACCAAAGAAAAGGGGGTTGGGGACGGTAACGAAGAGTATTCTAACAAATAATGAGGAAAACATTTGGCATTGCAGTAAGAATCATTCTAAGGGAGATTTTTAGAAATGCTTTCATAGAGTACTTGAGCTGTACATCTACCTGCTGTTCTCTATGGCACAAATACTTTAAATTAAGTGTTCTATTTATACCTTGATGAACCATATGAGCCTGATGAAGGGCACATGAACCCGAAAGCTTGCAGAAAAAGATATTTTTTTACAATTTCTCAGTTGGTCTAATAAAAGGTATCATTTTAGGAACCAAGAGTTGTAGATTTTTTAATTTCTTTTTGTCTCAGACCATCACGGCTACCACATACATCCCTGCCTTTATCTTCTGCCTTCTAGATTTAATTTCTAGATACCAGCCATGTTTACACCTATACTCCTACAACTGAAAAGCTTTAAAAGGGTAGCTGTGCTGGAACACTGAATCAATTCCCCATTGGCAACTGGGGCCTCTTTTCTTTAGGTTTGCTGTCCATGACTGGCATTTCCCTTTCTAATACCTAAATTATAATTTAAGATAAGACTTGTTTGTGTTAAGTGGATCACTGCTTGAATGCTCCAAAAAACTCCTGAGGGGTGTAAAAAAATTTCATACCATGAAACTCACCACCTTCCGGTCTGAGTGCCAACAGCATTTCCTCTGACTCAGTCTTCAAAGGGAGGACATACAACAGAGGTGACAAGATTTTGAAAAAGCAAAACAAAACCTCACATCTTTCTTCCTGGGACAAAGAACCACCTACTCATTTATTACACCCTGCAAGGCAAATACCACAGCAATGTGTGCCACAGGGCCCCTAACAAACTAACTTTTTGAAAGACAATGGGTTTTCTTTCAAGTTTACATGAGAAAAACAGTTCATGGTATCACTACTACTAACCAGCCAAGCTCTGCTTTGGTAAATTCCCCAGAATTCTAGATCAGTTAAAAAACAAGACACTAGTTCTAAGCTACTGGGAGGATGCAAAACATCTCAGCAAGCAGAGGTACTATCACTCAGAATCATAGAAAATAAAGGTTGAAAGGGATCTCAGGAGGTCATCTAGTTCAACCACCTGCTCAAAGGAGGATCTTCCCCAACTAGATCATCCCAGCCAAAGCTTTGTCTAGCTGGGTTCTGAAAACCTCCAAGGATGGAGCTTCCACCACCTCTGGGTGACCTGTTCCAGGGCTTCACCACCTTCCTAGTGAGAAAATTCTTCCTAACATCTAACTTCCCTTGCTGCAACTTGAGATGGGTGCTCCTTGTTCTGTCATCTGCCACCACTGAGAACAGTTTAGCTCCATCCTCTTTCAAACTTCCCTTCAGGCAGTTGAAGGTTGCTATTAAGTCCCCTCTCAGTCTCTTCTTCTCTAGACTAAATAAGCCCAGTTCCCTCAGTCTTTTCTCATTAAGTCATGTCCCCCAGCACCATTTTTATTGCTCTGTGCTGGACTCTCTCCAATTGGTTCACATCCTTTCTGTAGTGGGGGGCCCAAAACTGAACACAATACTCCAGATGTGGCCTGACTAGCACTGAATAGAGAGGGAAGAATCAATTCCCTGGACCTACTGGCAACACACCTACCAATGCAGCCCAGTATGCTATTAGGCTCATATTCAGCTTATTGTCCCCTGCAACTCCCAGGTCCTTTTCTGCAGAACTGCTGCCCAGCCAGTGAGCCCTGAGCCTGTACTGGTGAACAGGATTAACTTCTGTTAATATTGCACAAACAGAATAAATACTAGAGAGGTCACTTTTAATAATTCCACAGTGCTTTATAAAGAGAATTCAAGCACCATTTAAAAATACTTGCAACACATTAACTTTAAATCATTTATGCCCTACACATACAATTAACCACATTTGAAACACAGACCACAGATCAGTCCCTTGCGTAACTGTACAGTTCACAAACACTTCTTCCCTCACAGAGGGAAAACTGAAAGGACAATGTATGGCAAATGACAAGTAACCCCTGCTTGAAGAAAACACCAAAAAATGAATAACCGTTCGTTCTCTCTGGTTTCTTAACACATACTCTCCTTCAATTGATCTGGGTACCTACCATCAGCTCTTGGGCAAAAAACACTATGGCCAAAATTTTCAAAATTGGGATGCTTTCAAAAAAATGTATTTGCAAGAAGATGTATTAGGCACTCATCTGAAAAAAAAAGTCTATTTGACATTCATGGGAGCCACAGAAAAAGGTTCAGCCTCTTACAAGTTCTTTTTCTCAGTACCTCAGCTTTAGATACCCAGATTTGAAAATGTTGGCCTTTATGCCTAGAAGTTTCTCATCCCCAAACAAATACACCACAGGCACTGCTAATTTTTTTAACTTGAAGACATAATACTTTTAAAATTAAAAGAAGATGCATGGCTAAGGAAGTTCCTTCCACACTGGCCCTTCCTCTGAAATCAAACTGTCCTTTTCAAAATTACCCCACCAAGACACAAGCTGAGCAGCACTGGAAGGACTGCTGATTGTAACAACCAAACAGCCATAGCAGTAGATCCACCGATCCAGGTCACCGAATTCATCCTGGTGAAGGCCAGCCTTAGTTGAAAGTCCCAGGATCAACATAAGGGTAAGCAAGGAACTCTCCCAGTTTGTTGCCTTCTGCATCATAATGGAGCATGCGGAAACAAACATCACAGAAGAAGCAGGGGTCCTCTGGAGCAAGACTGTCCTCGTTGGTCACCCATCTGTAGGTTTCAAAGTACAGGTGTTTCATATTATTGGTTTCATATCTAGCAGGTATAGGAAACGCACCCAAGAAAAACCTATTCTTAGACAGATTGCATTTAATACCTATAAATACAGGGATGTATAAAATACACAGTAATCAACTGGCTAATTTAATTATCACTGCCGTCATATTCATGCCACTCCTAGAGGCAAAGCTCTTCTCCAAAGACCGGTTTCCCAAACACCCACTCACCAGCTACACTCTGCAGCAACATGTAGTAGGGATTTCTTGGGTCTATCCTGCTATTAGCACAACTCTGATTATTCAGATTATAATATGAAACTCCTGCTTCCTGCCAAACAACTTAAGGAACAACAGTTAAAGCTCCATTTTCCCCTATTCCCCACCCTATGCCTTAAACAAGTGGTTCTCAAACTTCTTAGATTTAGGGCACCCTTCCATAACTTTTTAAAATTTACTGTCACCCCAGTTGAAAACCACTGTTATACTGCTTCACCTTAGCTTAATAGTTCTCAACTAGGGCCCTGCCACCACTGCTGCCAGGTAAAAGTGCCCCATGTGCCTCATGCATAGTCAGACTGAGACAGGAACACCCAATAGCTACCCCCCCCCCCGCAGTTGAGAACCACTGCTTTAGACAGAAAATAGATTCCTGAGTGATCTGAACAGCCTGAGCAACCACCAAATTCATTCAGAAAACTGGCAAATAGCTGAGCAGGGAGATACAATTACATGAAAAACAGTCTGATCACAGGCACTGGTATTTAATGTTGCTCTGAAAGAGTTGAAGGCTTTCCCCCAGTATTATTAGCATGAAGATTTAGTAGGTTCTAAGCTGTCTTACTATTACACAGAGGCATTAGTAAGTTTTCATTATTATTTGTTAATTAAAAAGCAGAGTTTGCAACAATGTTAATTACTGACTGATCACTTCTGAATTTGTTTCAACTCAGAAGCACATGCACACACACACAACTTTCTTTTAAATCATAGGCTGAAATGAGTCAGGCAAAACAGAAGATTACCAAGGGAGGGTATTAGTTACAGGAGAAGTTGACACCACTGGCACTGTCAGAGTAAAGTGGGGGTAGCTGACTAATAATTTTCTTTATGATAGTCTATAAATGCCCCAACAGATCAAGTCCCCTAGTGACTACAGACACTGCTATTTCAGCATAGAACAGAACATACACAATATGCACTCAATATGCACTCAATCAACATCTCCCACCTAAGTGCTAGTCCTGGATTTAAACTTAATGTCACTGGAGACTATCACCTTTGACACTGCTTTCCCCATCCTTTCTTCCCCCTACATGGATTCTTTAGCTCCACACTTATGCTCAGGCATCTCTAACAGTAGATCCAGGAAGTGCAGTGGTATATTTTTGGATTGTGCCAGGAGCAGCAACAGGGATTTTTTGAAGTCCAAAATCAGGTAAAAATACCATCCACCCCGCTCTTGGCACCCTCTCCCTTCCTCTCAGTCCTCAGCAACACAGGCACCCCACCACTGCTGCTGATCACTGTCTCCAGCTGACATGGGGAGCTCCAGAGCTCTCCTGCCTGCTTCATCTGGAAACAGCAGCAGCAACAGTGGCAGCAGGAGGATTCCTCCTATCTGCCTAGGACCCCGTGTGTTCCCTGCCAGCCCAGGAGCAAAACACCAGCAAACTTCTCACTGCCATCCTCTGCTGAGCCCAGCTGCATGGCCTCTGGAGAGCCTCCCTGCTGTGAATGAATTGGAGAGCTGTGATTTGAAAGGGTTGTGTATGGAAGGGCTACAGAGCCACTACAGCCAGGCTCAGCAAGGGACAGTGGCACAGCAGTAGCAGAGGGGTTTGGCACAGCAGCAGTGGAGGGGTTCCCCTGCCCTGAGTGAGTTGGCAGGGGAACACCTGGGGTGGGGGGGTGGAAATCAGGCAGAAAGGAGAATCCCACCCACTGCCTCAGCCCAGGGGCTCAGAAACTTCTCTGGAGCCATTCCCAATCAGCCTGGGACAGCATCAGTGGTGGGTTTGGGAGAGAGTGAATGGAAGGGATGGGGACGTGCAGCTGAGGGTAGAGGGGAAGGGACAGGGTGCCAAGTGTGCAGGTGATGGTGGATGGGATTCTTAACTGATTTGGGGCTTATAAATAAATAAATAAAATAAAAAGTTGCTGCTGCTCTTGTAATATGGTCTGCCTGTCTGGGAGCGGGGGGAACTGGGAGCTGCATTGCAGTTCCCCCTGCAGTGCCCATTGCTGCTCCTGCACCCTGTCTTCACAAACTCCTGGATCACCCATGGGCATCTCACATGATTATAAGCCCTATTTTCAAAATGGCATCCAGGGAGCTCAACTAAAAATGCTGGGATGGACTGTCCCAGCAAGATGGATGCTGGCATTCTATCCTAAGTGAGCTTAAATCAAGCCCCTGAAGATATAAGAGCACAGTTCTTGTGCCAGAGTGGGAAAAGGGGCATGAACTTGTTTTTGAGAACAACCACGCCAAATTTTCTTGAAACACAGGAATCTATACCTTGTTCTTGGGACTAGTTTATTTTCTTGCTACAAAGATTTATACAATGACAATAGATGAGTTTTTCCTACCACCAAATGAATGGCTCCCTCTCAGCTCTCTAACTTAACTACTCAACCAGTAAAGCCTGGTTATGGTATTTCAGGAGATCAATTCATGCACAGTGTAGAAAACAAAAGACGTACATTTGTGCATGTGGAACCAAAAAGGAACCCTACTAGGGGTGCATGGACAAAAACATTAGACTCCCAGGAGAAGCCATATTTTAATATTTTAACATTTAACAACAATTACTATTCTCAACCTTCCTATATTACTCTAAATGCATGCTTTACTTCCTTCCTCTGTAATCATACCACCACCCCCAATATATTGGATTTAAGAAATACTGCATATTTCCCCTGAGAAGAGGGGGGGATACCATGTTCCATTTTTGTAATAATAACAGATTTAATCGAGCATTCTCTTTCAAACTCAGGAAAACAAACTGCTCTAAGTCCTATACTGATTCTACGCACTTAGCAGAAGAACACTCTCCAAAGATTTGGCACCACTATGATTTCAACTCTTTTGACTGTTCTATAAGAGGTTTCCCTGGCATCTGTTAGTTTATGAGATGGGCATATTATAAGGACTGTAGAACACATTTTTCACAAAGAACAAAATCAAAAAGCACATAAAGTTATGCACTGAGAATCATGCTGGGTTGTACTATTAATAGTTTGAACTACTTATAATCATAGACAATTAAAAAAAAGCCATGTGTGCACACACGCACGCGCACACATACACAAACACAGAGTATATAAAAAGCAACCAGACTTCCACAAATAGAAGCTTTAGTGGGGTGAAGCAACCTGGCTCACCAAATAAGTTTGATCACTTACCTGGCTATATACATTTTGCACACAAAGCATTTTCTGGTATATAGCCAAGGCTTCTTGATTAGCAGGGGATAACGAGTCCTGTCCAGACAATCATCACGATGAATAAGCCTCACAGAAAGAAGAGAATAAGACTTAACTATATTGCAAAATATCCCCCCAGATAATGATGTAAAAAAATGGCACTTAACATGATTTAAAGGCCAGTTCAAGTTAGGACAAATCATATTCAATGTGGCTTAACACAAACGTAAACTGTAAAACAATACTAACTGCAACACACTGGAAATTTGTTCACTATGTTTAACTAGTACTTTATATTAGTCATGTAATCCCTTATCCTAGGATGTGCAGAGTGCCATGAAAGCCCTAAGTGCAGCAGGCTCAAAAAAGACAAGTTGTTTTTTGGTTCCAGCTACAGAAGAAGTAGAAATGAAAGAGTGTTTCTACCTTCTTCCACTGAGAAGACCTATGATGGATGACCACAAGTAGCTGAGTACTCCTCAAGGTGCCCAAATTTTCCCAGGATCAGGCTGTTTAAACAAATGCTAGTGAGATACAGGGAGGAGAGAAAGAAGTGGAGAATATGGGGCAATACAATATCAGAGGGAAGGGAAGTGGGAGAAGGGGCATCTCCTTTCTGCTGCAGAGAATTAGGCACAGAACCTTTTCCTAAGTGTATTCTCCATGACACAATAAACTGTACGAGGTGTTCTACTAGTGAGGAGGTTAGGAAAGGCAAAGCACTTACATAACTACACGAACACTCATAAATTGTAGTAACTTACCTTATGTCTGTGATGGTAACAATGTGTTCACAATCACCTTGGTGGCAGTACAGATATGGAAAACCAATTTTGAGGGACAAGTCATTGAAGGTATAACCTTCCATATTAACAGCCTGAAGATTCCCATAGCCTCTGTCATGAGATTTTGACCACTCAATTACTGTTCTAAAATGAGAAAAAGAGTGTCAGCATTGTTATACAAGAACCTGGGTTTAGTAAATCTTTTGCCTCATATGTTCAAGAAATTAATGGTATAACAAAACAGTAAGCCAGCCACAAAAATAATCCACGAAAGACGTATAGTACTACTGTGGCTGGTTTCCATCACATCTTAAACTGAATGTGGTGTAGGGTAGCGACAAGCCAGAGCAGTTCTAGACCCTGTGTGGTCCTGGGACTGGGAGTAACAAATCAGCTGATTGTCGGTCCGAGCCCTAGGACCACTCCAGTTCACATAGGCAGCCCAGCTTTCAATTTGCCACTGCAGAAGGGGCCTTGGCAAGTAGTAATAGCACCACTGGATCTGAACATGAGGCAAGGCAGGAGGTGCGATTGTTGGGATCAGAGATCAGATCCCATTGTGCCATTAAATAAATGTGGGCTGTGGCGACATGTATTAGATATAGTTCAGTTTATAACTGATGCAATTGTATTAGGTTCCTTAGATGTAAAAACAAAGCAGCCTTATCAATGAAAACCATAAAGAAGGTAACAAGAAAAAACAGAATGGTGAAAAACAACATTTCACGGTAGTGAAAGGAAGATATGGAATCCTCCCTTTTAGAAGTGTAACTTTCACAAACACATAATTCCCAACTAATTAACACCTTCCACATCCACAAGGGAACTGGTTCAGTCCCGTTTCAAAAGTTTTAGTGACGCAAAGAAATCTGAACACAGCCAATCAAAACATTTAATGAACAATTCATATCTGGGGTCGTAAACCTGAGGAGAATGAAGGATCTGAGACACTGTACAACCCACAAGAGTTGAGAGATCTTGCGATCTGGCCTACATCCATCCATTCTTTTTGCTCAGATAAGACACCTTTTAGAAGATGCTATTAATGGGCCATTTTAAAATCTATTCCAGGCTGAACTAACTACCTAGCCTTTCCCTTTCACAGCTCCCAACTGCCAATAAGTAAATCAACCCCCACTGCTACGTTAGAGGTGCAAGAGAATTTCCACCCCAGTGCTAGAAAAGGGTACAGACAAAGAGAGAAATGAAGGACCTTCCCTTTTTTCAGAAAACTTGAATCTAAGGAGCAGGCAGAAGAAAATAAGTCAGTCAATACTGAATGGAACAAGTCTGATTTACCTTCACCCAGCTATTAAAAGTTCCTGCTTCAGAAACACACCAGATCATCAGGAGACCTGGTCAAACTTTCCTTCTCCCCAAGAAGAGTTCCCTCCAAAACAAGATCTATGAATACTATACCTGCTCAGATCTCTGCACTCTGGATGCCTTTTATCATTGTAAAAAACTCCTTCAAAATAAAAGAAGGCAGCTTTGTACAGATCCTTGGACAGAGAGAAAAATAAGGATTTAATAATACAAAACAATACATTAAAATGCCAGAAACCTTGCAAAATGAAGCCTATGAGGAAAACATGCAGTTTGTGTACATAGTTTTATTGAGTCATATCATACTGTCAGTTTTTGCCCTGATCAGCCTTACTGGTTTCAGCTTAAACACCGATGAAATAATGTGGCTTCTTTTACTGTCTGTGGCTATGCAGTATTATTCTCCTAAGGACATGCTGATCTTACTCATACATATTCTCTCTTCTTTCTTCCCTCCCTTATGCCATTGATCCCTATTTTCTAAAAATCAGGAGCATCATTCAATGGCATTTAGGCAAAATTTTGCTGCAAAGTACTGAAAAAAATCAGCAAGGTCAGAGAAAACTAGGCAGCAAGGTGCGCTGTTCCTCAGGATGACAATTCTGTTGTAATCCTGCATCAAAACACAAACTAGAGGTGGTCATGTGGCAAGACCAAATGCTCACATCTACAAAAACAAGATAGATGTGCTGTTTTAGAAGGTCAAAGCATCCCCCTACCCCTTTTGGAGACTCAGAAGAGATCCAACATTCCAAAAAATGCCCTCTTTAAGCTTGCAATTGCATAATTTGTTACATAGAGACAAGTCATCTCAACCAAACATGTCCCTACCAAAATAATTAACACTGTATGATCTTCATATCAGCATGACCTGGGCACAGAATTCTACATCAAGAAATTATTGAAGCTAACCACTAAGTAGCCATTATTCATGCAAGGTTATACATAAAATATATCTTCTCTCCCCCCTTCTCTCCCACAACACAAAAGGGTAAGTATATCCCTCTTATGAAACTCTCTTTGTATCATCAAGGAAGGAACAATGCTGGGGTGGAGGGAAGGGAAGGACAATAACCAAGAGTCACTTTCATCTCCACTGCTTTTACCATGACATTTAAAGGACTGTTCTTGTTTACAAAGCTAAAAGGAGAGGCAAACAGTATTTCTTCAAATGAAAAAAAAACTCATTTTAATTGTCTTTATCAGAACTTAAAGCAATAGGAAAAAGACCAGATGAACTTAACAAATATAGACCTACATGTTGTCAAAGGACCTACAGAGGGTCTGTTTTTCTCACATATACACATATACACATCAGGTTTTAAATAATATAAAGTAACTGTGGGAACCTATTACTTAGTTAAGACAAACACTGACCGCTACTAGAAAGCTTCAACAATTACACCTTATTTAAATAATATCCACCAGTTTCTCCAAAAAGGAAGTAATTTGAGGGCAGACAGAGAATAGAAGAAACTTTCACCCATATTCAAGAACTTTAAAACACTGAACTGCTTTTTCCCCACACTTCTCCCCTACCTCCCCACCTTTAAAAGGTACAAGGTGGTTTTTCTTTTATTTTTAAATGCTACAGGATAGTCTATCCACTTCAGAGCCAAGGGCCAGCTAGCTTTATACAGGTACCCAAGCCCCATGTGACAGCTCTCAGGTATTCCCTATGCCAGGGGTTCCCAAAGTTTTTATGCCATGGCCCAGCAGTCACAGCTGACTGCGGCCAGAATTTCCAGCCAGCAGACGGGTCATGATACCCCACCCCTGGGTGGCGGTGGGGGGGCAAACCCTGCACTGCTGCGGGCTCTGCAAAAGGAGCCACGGCCTCTCCGCCCAGCTCTGGGGGGCCGCAGTTTGCTGGTCTGCAGCCACTTCCGGTCCAGCAGCCAACTGTGTTGTGGACCAGCAGCCAACCTGCTGCAGCCCGGCACCGGGCCACAGCCCAGAGGTTGAGAACTCCTGCCCTATACAGCCTGTTGAAGAATAAAACTGTACCCTGAAAGAGACTTAGGATTCCAGACAGCAAGTCCTTCTTTGACCAGGGAAACAGGCCAACTGCCTTATGGGTAGACAAGCACTCAAAGCAGAAAAAAAGTGAGAGGATGCTTTAGAACATTAGCTGAACTCCATATGGAAACGTCTTAGAATTTAACACTTCTGTAAAGAAGCTTTCTGTTTAGGAACACATCTTACATATGTTGTGCATCATTATACTATACACACACACGGTGTATACACAGTTTTACTGTAATAAAAGGAAATTGCAAATGCAGAGCATGAGCCTCCCCTTATTTTTAACTGCAACATAAAATAAGAGAGTTGATCTTTCCCTCTGGAATCTGCTGACTTTGGGCAATTAACTTGAGCTGAAATTATTCTGTACTTAGAAGCATGAGGTACTTCACACTACCTAATACCATGAAAACCTGATTGTCTTTACAGTATCCATACATCTCAAGGTACTTGACAAAAATCAGTAAACATGATGTGCAAGTATATCCTAGTATCCCTACCACGACATCCAAACATTAACAAAACTGTGTAATCCTAATTCAGTAAAAACAATCTGAAATCTCTCCATCCTTCCCTCTAATTTCCCTGCATGTTTTACACTTTGCTGGCTATCAGCCATTAACATAAGCGAATGGACAAGGCTACCATTGTGAAAATGCAAAGACCAAGTTTTTGAAGCTGTGCAATCAGGGTAGTGATGGCTGGCCTGTTAGGAATTCTGTGCAATTCTGTCATTCTATTTTGTCACCAAAATCCTGCTGCAGAAAGTGCCTTGCCTACAGACTCTCTAGGGGGCTAACTCTACATTCAGTCACAGCATTTTACTGCAGGAGCTGCCACAGACAATCCAGAGACAATCCAGATCCACAAGAGAGCTTACAATCTTAATACAGAAGTCAGAGAAAGGGTGGAAGAATGCTGGAGGGAGTACTGTTAAAAGCATTTTAAAGGTTGGGATCAAAAGGGTGAAGGGACTGCACAATCATTATGTAAGAAGGTTGCAGGAGAGCCAGGAACTGAATTCAGGTATCCAAAGTCCCAATTCAGTAGCTTAAATACATGACCACTTTTCTTCATTACACACATGAAGCTTTTGTTATACTTTAAGCTGTCAAAAATATAACAAACCAGGAGTCACTCTACCAAAAGACAGGGAATTTAGAAAAGAAAATGGTTCCTTGTTCAGCCTGGGGTCAGAGAGGAGAGGGCATTACATAAGGTAGATAGAAGAAAGTGAACTTCTGGCTAAAATCAGCAGGCTGTTGTAATTCCAATGTCAGTGTAAACAGGACATTACCACATCATCCAACCCTGTTCAAACCAGGTCATTTTGGCAAAGAGCTGAACACAGCTGAGCCTTACTCACATTATGGGACAGCGATTCTCAACCAGGTTGCCTTGAGATCCTTTTGAGAGTGATTCAAGGTACCACAGAATCTTAGCACTTTTAGACATGCAGACATGATTTGCAAGATACACTCAGAGATTTCAAGTAGAAATCCATTGTTATGGTCTTTCTGAGTTCTTTGCAACAGAAAAAAAAAGCTGTATTACTTTTCTATAGGCAAAAAAGAGTGAAAACTAAGAACCGGTATTTTCCAAGGGATGCCTAAAGTCTAAAAGGTTGAGAATCATTGTTACAGAACTTGACCACTGTCAGACAGTGCAGTCACACCTACTCCTGGGGGATGTGGGTAGAGGGAAGGACTGCATACATATTCCCATGCCTTGGTGCCTTTAAATCAAATGACTGTACCTTGCTGATGTGGTCTGGTGCCTGGTCAGGCTGGCTGCTGAACTCACCACCAATCTGGAGGTCACTGACACAGGAAATGGAGTCTCTTAGTTCAGTGAGTTTTTGACTTCCTAATACAAGGACCGTCTGATACGGTTTGTTTTCTTTATGCTAGAAAGCAAAAAGGGAGATGGCTTCAGTTAAACCAAGTACCAGAACATCTTTAGTACAAATGCTGCTCCAGTATGAGGTGAATACGAACAGCAGAAGGCCCAATGCCCCTCCAAACAAAGCTGACAAAAGCTTGCCCTCTACAGCTACTGTTTGGAGCAAGAGAGTAATTTGGAAGCACAAATGCTAAACTTCCTGTAGTAGCAAGTAGCTTGGGGCTGACCTAACAGTTATGTACAAACATAGTACTTTAACTTCAGATACTATATATTCTGTAAAGCAGAGTTCCTACCAAACTGCTGTAAATGTTTGCCTCTTCAGCTGCAACCTAGAATCATCAAAAGCTACCCCGGCCACTTGTCATCCACTATTCTTACACGGTGCCCAACATAACAGGGCTCCAGCTGGATGACTGTAGATGCTAACACAATTGTAGTGTTCAGTAGCTCACTTTTTATAGCATCACACTGCTTGAGTGATTTCAGCAGAGCTACTGGGGAGTATGGCACTCTTCAATCTGGATAAAGGTATCAAAACCTAACCTGGAGAATTTAACACCAACCTTTTCAAATATGACAGGACAGTAGATGTTCAAAGTTAAAAGCAGGTCTCCCTCTTCAACTAGATCTTCTGGATTGTTAGGCCTCTTTCCAACAGGTTGAGACTCCTAGAAGATATAAAGTGATATAACTGTGTCAGAGTATATTTTATTGCTGCTTGTGTAGATACCAGACAAGGAGAAAGTGCGTGAAAACACATTCTTTCACAATACTGCCTCTTGTTAATAATGTATGGGACCTGAAGCCTCTTTCCCCTTTACAACTGTCAAAATCTCCAAACCAAAAATCCAGCAAAGCCAGGCCTTTTGTGACACTGATTGCTACATTCTGGAGATGAAGTGAAAGCATCTGTCATGATCTTCTCTTCAGATGAAGCCCCAGCTGTCAGCGACTGAGGAAGTAACGTCTCCCTTTTGTTGCAATCAGTCTGTCCCAACTCTGCCCACACAAACACATACAAACCAAGACAGACTGCTGCAAAAACACTGTTTTGGCACTCTGGCCACCACAAGCTGCTCTTTTAGCCTTAGTAGTAAAGATGCTTATTGCTGTTGGATCTCAGTGGAAGGAGGAGGGCTATTCTTTGGCGTTCAAGCTAAATGGACTCTAACACTACTCTCTTTTCCCAGTGACAATAGAACAAAAGCTTTCTAATGTGTTTTAAGTTTTACTTTAAGTTCCATTACAACTATACACAAAGCAGAATTCCAGAGCATCTGTTATGATACACAAGCTCTCTTCTTTAACAGGTTGGCCCCAAGACTGCTGAGCAGCTATTAGCCTCTGCTCCATGGGACAGCTGTGTGTGTGTACTGTGCAGCTCTAACTTTCACAGTATTTGGTGTCTTTCTTTTGTAAGCATTTGTCTTGAGGAGCTGGAGATTTACAAATTAAATCCTTCAATTAAAAAAATTACCTCTGATGAACAGAGAAAACCTTAAAAGCAAACCTTAATGCCGTGATTCTCAACTAGGGTGCTGGGGACCCTGGGGTACCACTAGATGCTATGAAGGGTACCGTGAGGTGTGAGGAAATAAGTGAGAAGAAAAGCAGATAAGCTAAAGAAATAAGGGCAGGCTCAGGCTTGTCCATGCATAGATGATTCTTCACCCCTACTGCACAGCCCCAGTAGATACGCACGGTAATATATAAATTAAGGGGTTTTTTTTAAATTGGGTACCACTGAATGCACAAAAGCTATGGAGGGGTGCCTCAAGTCCTAAAAGGTGAGAACCAATGTTTCAGTGGGTCAACCAGACAAATTAAAAATACTAAGTTTGGGGCAGGGGCAGTTTGGCTTAAAAATGATAAATTTACCATCAATCTCACAGCTCTTGAAAACCTGGGGTGGCAATACCGGTAACTTGGCTCAGGAGATCTGACGGATGAAGCCAGAGCCATGTCTCTACACTCCCTGATATACGTGTTTTTAAACAGAAGCTGAGATTTTGGCAATATCACAAGTTTCCGGGAATGAACTTTCAGTATTTCCTTTGTCTAATCTTACCATATGTTTGAACAGCACCCAACATATTGGGACCATATAGGCACTGCTGTACTGTAGTGGTGTGAAGGAGATTCAGACAAGATTGGAGTATATTAGATACTGCTCCAACACAATGAGAGAAAAAGTTATTGTCCTAGAAATGCTTTCAAAACAAACTACTACCTCACCTAAGGAAGTGTCAATGGAATCACTGTTTACAACCTCTTGGTTTACTTGGAATGGTATACCTGGCTTCACAGCACAGAAACAGAAACCCTTTCATTGTCTTGCAAGTCTAGAAAAAGGGTGTCACAAACCCTGTTATGTTTTGGAGTTTGTGGCATGTAATAATTGTTTCCTTGTGCTTTACTGTATTGATATGGCATGTGTGGTTTCATCATAAAGCCCATGTTATGGTCTATGTATATCTTTAGGATTTGGGATATGGTCTAGTCAGGGAACTACTCAGGGACTGGACAGAACTGCTAATTATCCCTTGCCCTTGTGGTCTAGGGTCAAGACAATGACTATTTACAACTGCAGACAGAAGGGGCCACTGGTAGGATGGGCACCCCTGCGTCCTGTCCGCTTATGATGCGGGGTAATCAACTCTACAATAGCAAAGGGATCTGGAAGTGATGGCCCACCAAGCCAGCAGAACTCTAGGTATCTCAAACACAACAGAACTTCCTGAAAGGTCCTGGTGACTCATGAGCATTAGAATAGCATTAACGGGGGGGTGGGGGAAGGCTGGCTTCCAGACTTTTAGAGCCTAGACAGGCTATAATATTCATCTTTGAATCTCAGGCTTTGAGGTTCACTGGCTCTACCAGGACGGGCATGACAATTTCCAGAACTCTGGCAATGACTCTTATGGAATCTAGCAGTGGCAATGAGGGTAAGACTCTGTACTTGTCTTCTTTTTATCTCCAAACCTATGGTCTGTTTTGTTTGCATATCTCTTTCATCCTATGCAATAAATCCTTTTCACTGTTTGTCTCCTAATGATTGCCAGCTGAAGGAATACATTTCTAGGCGAGTGAAATTCCAAGCTGACTCTCTCCACAGAGAGGGGGACCCATCATTTCTTCTATAACCTATAAGTGAATGCCACTAGTGGCTAGCAGAGATTCCCCACTGCAGCTGCAGAATCCAGTGTAGGAACAAAGGAACTAAGGAGCTGTTTCGGGGCAATCTCAGTCTGTTCCTTGCAGCAAGTGCAGCACAGTGCCTCCCTGGCTCCTGGGGTTCCCAAGGGCTATGTTTGTAACAAAAGGAAAGGAATCTTACCATTTCATAAATAAATGTTTCTGTTCTGCAAGGACGATCTATAATTATGCTTTCCTCTCGCTTATCCAGTGCCTTCTTTCTAATTCTAGAGGGGAAAGGATAATATAAAGCAAAGAGTTAAACTGACTGGCATTGAGATAATCAATCATAACTTTCCTAAATGTCACTGGCAGATGCACATGCTTAGCACCATCTAGTATCTGGCCTATAGAAAGAAAATTAAAGAAAAAGAACTCTCCCCAAGACCTTTTCCTATGCCTCTTAACTAAAGAACTTACATATGCTTTTTTTCCTTGTCCACTGTATCTACAACCAATGGCCAGCTTGGAGCCAATATGAACCTGCTATTTTGTTTGCACCTGAACACCTCCTCCTTCACAAGGCCAATAAGTGACCAGTGTATGCAGAAAGAAGACAGCTTATCCCTCAAATTGCACAAATGCAGAGTAGCCAAAAGTATGAGTTTTGAGACATCTATGAAACTGGAAGTGGAACCATTATTTTCTACCTGTTTGGGAACTGCTACTCTAATATTGTTTTAAGCATGACTTACTAGTTAAATTCAATAAAATCACAGACCTAAGGATTTAAGAGTTTTCTTTACCTTCCCTCATATTCCATGAGTTTAGGTATGTATCATTACATTGATTGTAAGAAATTTGCTGAGCAGCTTAACCCCGCCATTTCTGCAATCACTCTGATCAACTAGAATAAACCATGATATTCAAACTATTCAACTTTCCATAATACAAGTCACCCAGTTAGATGCTATATTCAAGTCAGGTAATTACACTGGACAGCCTCATCTCCAAAAAAGGAAAAGTTAAAAAGGATTCTAGAAGAACATCATAAGCTTCTTTATTCCCAGGTACCTCAGTGTTGCTGTTGGTTGAGTACTATCCAAGAACATCTATGTGGCTTTAAGTTACACTGACTGATGATGGTGAACTCTCTTACCAGACTATTTTCCTTCATGATTGTTTTAACGGCTTGCTGTGTATACATCAGACCAAATCAGAAATCCAAGCAATTTATTTTCAGTCTCACTTAAGCCAGAAAGAAAAAGGAGCAAAGTAGATGTAAAAAACCCCCAAAACCAAGGAACCTACAAGGAAAAACATACTGCTTCTCAATCATACCATATTCCTACATCTCTACCACACTTTTCAAGACATAGGCATGTCTATTTTCCTGCAGAGTCTAGGGTTGTGTACTCAGTCCACTGATCAACCAAGTAATGGTCAAATATTTTAATCATTAACTTATTAGAACAGTGAAGAGAAACACTTTAATCTTCAATAGGTTAGATACTTATGCCAATTACAACAACAAATTAACTGTCATTGTGAAAAAATGCAATTAAACGCTAAAAACCTGTAATGATTGATCAGAACCGCAATGTTAGGTAAGTATAAATACGAATGATATTCAACACTGAAACAGGTTTTTTTCTTTTCCTTGGGTTTATCCTGCAACCCCAGGGCCAGCCCAAACAGTTACAAAATTTAAAAAAAAGAAATGAAACTGAAATAAAACACTCACAGTGCTGGCTATGAAAGCTGTGAAAGCTTGCAACAGTGCCTCTTACACAAAAATGCAAAACAGTAGCTGGGGGAAGACTGGGTTGTAATAACAAGTCTGCCACAAAGAAAATCAAACTCCGCTAATGGCCTGTAACCCATTAGGCATAAGAGAGAGAGGACCTACTGGTACCCAATACCTGACCCATGCCATAAAATAATGAGTGATGGTTCTTCCAAAACAAAAATTGTTGGAGACACCTGACACACTCATCACATGGGGTATTTGTACACATGTTTGCACCATAGTACTGGGTACTTTTAAAGGTGCCTGGTGCTGCGGTGCATACAGCTGTACAAGTGGCGAAATGCACGTCAGCGCTGAGATAATGGCGGCAGCGTGCTTTTGAACTAAAGCACGTCGGATGTGTTTTAGTTCAAAAGCACACCGCTGCCATTTTCTGCATGCATGCTGATGTGCATTTTGCCACTTATACAAGTGCAAGCAATACAGCACAGTGCACGTCAGCTAGCATGTGGAGCAGACTCGATTAACTGGTCTGCTCCGGCATGCCCCAGCATGAAAATGCATATGTATAAATGCCCATGTGCATCTCCAAGCAAAAAAAGCCAAAGAAAAAGGCTGAGCCAGTGTAAATAAAGAAGGCAAGGAAACTACATATACATTTTAATTGAACTAGCAACTAAAGAAGACAAAAGACTAAATACACATTTCAAACAAAACCTGCAAAAGTTGCAGGAAAGAGGTCCTGTACGTGACATCCTCAAATGCCTCAAAACAGGCATCCAATGTCTAAGGTGTTACAAATACCTCAATCATTCAATGTATGTCTGGAGTTTTGTCAACAAACCATCACTGGTACAAGCTATTGCAAATTTGCCCCATTGATAAACAAATACCCAAAGACAGGTCCAGTAACCAATGCCTCTAAGTATCCTGTTTGACCACTCAAGGCCCACCACATTTAATTGCCAAGCTAGTCAATAGCTGCAAAAAAAAACAAACACAAATCTTCACACCTAGACAAATCCAAAAACAGAAACCAGGCAATTTAACAATTGTAATATGATGGTCACCCTTTTCCTCCCTGTTTTGTTTGGATTTTAATCAGCCAACCATCAAGGAAAAATGCTTTGAAACTATACAACTAAACAGTATAAAGCAAGACAGAACTGCCAGCAAAGTGTGCAGTCCTGGAAAGATCAAGAAGCCATACTGCACCCAGCCTACAAGTAAAGACTACAACACTGGGCCATCTTCCCTGCCAGCATTGGTGAGAAAAATATGCAAATATGGTGCATCTAATATGTACTGGAACTTTCTGTAACAGCTCATTTTATATTGGGAAAGAGTCTTTTTCTGTCATTTAGTTTTGTAGCTTGTTGGTAGTTATTAAAGCATGCCTTTCTGCTATTAAATCAACCAAGTGTGTCAATTCTTAAAGCACTAGGTTTAAAAACCCATTTTTAAGTACAACACACAGCAACTATAAAAGACAAAAGTCAGTTTTTACATGCAGTTATACTTAATAGTTAGCAGGCCAACTCTTCAAGCATTTTGCTTTGAATTATCTCCATCAGCTAACTGCTTTATCTATAATTTCATCATCATTGGTATTGCCTTCTTCCTCTTATTCTGAATATTCATCTGAACTCTTACATTTAATTCTCTTTTCTAATCTTACAATTGTTATACATGGTCACCAGATTCCCCAGCAGCGGAGGTCAGTATTAAAAGAATTTCTGTCACTCTATCTGGACTGCAAAGAGAACAACTCTTTCCACCATGATGAAGCAACAAGTTGTTTAGATTCAACTATTGGGACTGTACTGAACATTATTTTAGAACTGAATGGGCACTTCTTGCTTTATAATTTTCTACCTCTGCCAAAGCATTTGTTTTTATATCCTTTAAAATTTGCCACAATCACCACAAGGCTGAAAACTGAATCAAATTCAGCAGAAAGGTCACATCCCTGGAAAAGTGTATCAAGAAGGTAGGCAGAATTACGTGCAGAAATGATTGTCCTTGGCTTCATGGAATATCTAACAATATTTGACCATGGTCAAATAGTTCAATTGACATTACTTGACTAATCAATTGTGACCAGCTTGCCAACCCCACTGCAGACTTTCAAATATTTTTCATGAAAATCAATGGTAAAAAACCACTCATTGCAAGAGCAAGCCATGTATTACTGCACTTTGTTTATTCAATGCAAAGTAAACAGAACATAGTATACCAACTACAATAACGGCCTATGCTGGCCAAGCATAGGGCAATTTAACTTATATATAAAAGGGCCCCAGATACACTGGACTTGTCACTGCCAAACATTATCATTTTAAAAGGTAGGACTCAAACTGTCCAAGGGCACTGATAACACTAGTGCAACCTTTTATCTATAACCAGAGGACCACTAGTGTGGACTTCACAACATGCTATCAGGGGCCGGATTGCCTAAGATACCCTCACAGCTCTCTGGAGAAATTGCTTCCCAACTTGTTCAAAGTTCATTTTATGCCTCAAATTTATATGTCAGTCCAAAAAAGCTGGATCCAGAGCTCAGCAACTGAATCAGGAACCTAATGCTTTATACTCAGTTTTAATCAAATTGCTAAATGCAGATGGAACAATTCTACATTTCTTGCTCCTTATATTCTTCAGTGCCCTATAAGAGTGGGTCAGCACAACTTATGTTCCTTGAAGACAGCTTTCATACATTTAATGTTTTTTCTAGAAATTGTTCTAGTAGTTACACCACTGTCTGAAAGACACACGCATATTTACACTATGGTCCTTCATCAGTTAAAGAGTTTCTTCCCAAGGTTATTACTAGGAAAGAACACCAACAACATACCGGAGAGTTTCTAGCATGGTGTCTTCAGGAATAACCTCTGCATCTTCTTCTCCATCAGGGCTCTTTAACATGTCAATGCTAAAGATAAGAACAGCTGTTAAAGAATTTCACATCACATACCTTTCATATGCATTGCAATCAGTGACTCCATTCTCAAAAAGAAAAATAAAATAACCAGTGGGCAACAAAATATGATTTTTAAATCTCAATAAATAGCTATAGCAGGTGTCTCAAACTGGTGGCCATGGACTGCATGCAGTTATGAGAGCTTAAATCCAGCCACCACTGCTCTCTCCACTGCTCCAACATCAGCAGCAGCTGGGGTCTCCATGGACATCACTCCTGCCCCTGTCCCAGGCAGGGAGATGTAGCATGGCGCAGCCTTCTGCGCTGGAAGAGGGCCTAAGTTGCTCTGAGTGTCTGAGCGGTGCAGTGCAGAAGGGGAGTGCACGACCAAGAAGCTAAGGGTGAGTCGGGACTCCTAGGTATGCAGTGCAGCAGAGGGAGGAGCAGCATCACAGGCAGGCATCCAGGAGCAAGATCCAGCAGGGAGATCCAGTGAGCAGCACGGGGGCAAATGTGCAATGAGGAGCAGCGAGACAGGGCACCATAATGCAACAAGAGAGAGCGTGCAGTACAGCCCCCTAGGGGGCGAGGGGAGCAGCAGGGGGACAGGCACAGTGCAGGGGGCAGACATGGGGAGCACAGAGTACAGTGGGAGTGGCTCCAGGAAGCAAGTTCAGTGAGGGGAAAGAGGGGCAGCAGCAGGGGGGCACCTGGCACAGGATACAGCAAAGCAGCACCCTGCACAAAGGTACAGCAGTGGAGGTGCCAGGCTACAGGGCGCAGTAGCAGCGGGTGGTATCCAATGGAGCAGAGGGCGTGCATACAGACTCCTGAGTGGTCCCCCATGGCATGACCCCTGCTAGTGTGGCCCAATAAGCACATGACCCCAGGCCACTTAGAAACTGGACAGCCCTGAGCTAAAGCATACACTGGAACATACAAAACATACACTGGATTGCTGCGATACTCCTGCAAAGTAAATGCAGTAAATAATCTCACCTCCTGGTTAGAGCTTTCAGTTTCTTAGATGATAAATCCAACTCCTTCTGACTCTACAGTTTATGAGTTTTGTTAGCATCCAATATGACAAGGTGAGCCTTTCTAGAATCGACACAATATTTACTCACGTAATAAATGCGCTTTTTTTCAAAAATTTTGCCACCACAAACTAGAGTGAGACCATTTCATAAACCCTAGAGTACGACTGAAGAAGTATCCATAAAAAAAAAGAAGTTGTAATCTCATTTGAGCATCAGCCTCTACTTTCCCAGTTTGCAGAATCTTAGATGAGACTCAACTCAGAACAAAACTAATGTACAGTACTGTGCGGGCTTCCTGTGTGGGTGCATTTCATTCTTCAACAAACTATCTTTTAAGAGAAATACTCTTACAATCTGTTTCTTTAGAAATCTAGATGCAGCCAATATATGGATAAAACTTAGAAAAATTACAATTTAACCCAAGTCAGTGTAGTCACTGCCACCATAATCTGGTCCATAATACCAAAGGAGCCAGACCTTACAAACAGGAAACACGCTACTTAGAGTTCACCCTCAGCAAGTTTGCAGATGACACCAAGCTGGGGGCTGGAGGGTAGAGCCAGGATTCAGAGTGACCTATACAAATTGGAGGATTGGGCCAAAAGGAATCTCATGAAGTTCAACAAGGACAAGTGCAAAGTCCTGCACTTAGGATGGAACAATCCCATGCACCAGTACAGGCTGGTGGCTGACTGGCCGGGAAGCAGCTCTGCAGAAAAGGACCTGGGGTTACAGCAGACAATACACTGAATATGAGCCAGCATTGTGTCCTTGTTGCAAAGAAGGCTAATGGTATACCAGGCTGCACTGGCATAAGTGTTGCAAGCAGAGCAAGGTTAGTAATTATTCCCCTATTCAGCACTAGTGGGGCCACATCTGGGGTACTGTGTCCAGTTTTGGGCCCCGCACTACAAAAAGGACATGGACAAATTGGAGAAAGTCTAGCAGAGGGTGATAAAAGTGGTGTGGGGGCTGGGGGACATGACTTACGAGGAAAGACTGGGGGATCTGGGCTTATTTAGTCTAGAGAAGAGGAGACTGAGGGGGGACTTAATAGCAGCCTTCAACTACCTGAAGCAAGGTTTGAAAAAAGATGGAGCTAGACTGTTCTCAGTGGTGGCAGGTGACAGAAAAAGGAGCAAAGATCACAAGCTGCAGCAAGCGAAGTTTAGGTTAGATATTAGGAAGAATTTTCTCACTAAGAGAGTACTAAAACACTGGAACAGGTCACCCAGAGAAGTGGTGGACTCTCCGTCCTTGGGGGTTTTCAAAACCTGGCTAGACAAAGCTTTGGCTGGGATGATCTAGCTGGGGCTGGTTCTGCTTTGAGCAGGGGGTTGGACTAGATGACCTCCTGAGGTCCCTTCCAACCCTAATTTTCTATGATTCTATTTTTGTTTATATTATTATAAAAGTATCAGTCATTCTTTAAAACAGCTTCTTTTGTTTATCTTGTGCCATATATACAATACATGATGCAGTGTATGGTAGTACATACACTTATTTAGCATGAATGGCAGAATTCACTCAGAATTATGCCATTCATGAAAAACATGGGTGTTCTATACTGATACTGAGTAAAACACACCTTCTTGCAAAGCAGTCATGCCAGAACCTCAAAAATGGGAGGACGAGGGCCAAATTCAAAGCATACTGGTGGTGAGGGAAGAGAAAATTCTGGCAGAGGAAACAAGCCAAACTGTTCTATGAAGAACACTATGAGCCTTACAACATCAATGAAGACCAAAACAGTTAAAAGGTCCTGCTTGAAAGATACATGCCGTAAGGTACGTGGTATTTAATTAGTCTCCCCTGGAAAGGTAGTACAGCACCAAACTGTACAAACAGAGATAAAAAGTTGACTCAAACTTCAACAGATTTGGATCTGTGGTTCTGGGAAAAAGAGAAGCAGAAAGGCATCTAACCATGTGTCCTTAGCTGGCCTTCCATAACTATGGTGGCCCATATTACTTTTTAAGTTGTGAAGTTATGTTTTAATATTTTTATCTGGATTTATTCCTTATAATTAAAAATAGTACACTACCCTCTGCCATCATCTCCTCTGCCCTCAAAGGTTCAGTTACAGTATTTCATCACCTTTGATGCATGCATATGCTACACTACTATGTCAAGACCCTTGATACTTATTTAACAAAATCTTGCAGACATTTACAAACCAACTGGCAGCCCTGCAAGTGATTTAGTTGCAGTCCCTTGGCTCCTGCTCTGCCACCATTCCCCCAATCACACTGCAATAGCATCCAGTTTCTGGACTCCCCCTTCCTCCTCCAACTGCTGTCCCTACCCCAGGGGGCAAGGCAGACCAGCACACAGCATGGAGAGCAGACAGTGAGTTTGGGGCCATGAAACCATGCGGTGCAGTGGTGCAAGGGAGAGGGGGAACATGGTGGTACAGCAGTGAGCGGGGGAGGGTGCAGCAAGGGACTGAACAGCCAGCTCCAGGAGGGCCCCACAGGAGGGGCCGCAGCCTCTCCACCAGGCTCCGTGGGGCCCCCATAAAACATGGGGCCCAGGGCAGTCGCCCCAATTCACTGTATGCTAGGGATGGCTCTGAGTCTACAAAAACTATTTTGAATACTACCTGATCAATATGCAAGGCAAATGAAAGAGGTGGTCCTCACATTCAAACAAGGTGAGTTTAAACTGAATACAGAAAAATTTGCTAAATCTTACAGATTTGATAGACATAGAAGCCTAGAGCATAACCAAGTTTTTAAATGATCGCTCTACTTCCTTCCCCCAACCCACACATAGAGCATGTCCAGATGAACATGCATGTGCGGTTTGTGATACTTCAAACCCATCCGTGGCACTGCAAACTGCACACACTGCACGCGTAGACATTTGGCACACTGCTAATTTGCAACACAGCTAGTTTTTTCAATGCCAGGAGATCCGTGTCAAAAAAAAATTCATGCCAGGAAAAAGTGGGGTGGCACATGTAGCAGTAAAGCCGCCTGACTGGCCAGAGCCATGCTTCGGCTGCCAGCCAGACTCCACACACCCAGATCACTGCCACTGGAGTCCTGGGAGGCCCCCAGGATCCCAAGTAGGGATCGCTCATGGGGACATGCCCATACAGGACATACTGAATTCACGCAAATCCAAGACAACTTTAAATTTAGGAGGACCCCCCCAACAATTAGATTCTACACAAGGAAAGTTGTAAATTTGTTCTAAATTTCCATGTACAGAATCTAATTTTTCACACCCCCCCCCCCACTGCTGCAGCACGAACACAGCAGCAGCAGCAGGGCAAGCAGTGGGGAGCACAAACAGCTTGACCCCTGCCTTCCCTTCCAGTACCAGCCCCCTGCCCCCTCTTCCACTTGCCTCTGCTGCCACTACTTACACTATGGAGTAGCCCTGGTTCTGGATCTGACCTGGGACACGGAGTGTACAGTGGCTCTGGCCCTGAGCCAGTCAGGCAATGGCAGGAGCTCCAGCCCTGACCCCGGCTAGGCAGCAGCAGTAGCAGCAGCTCCAGCCTCAGGCAGACAGTGGTCAGGCAGTGGTGGCAGCTCCAGCCTCAGTCCCAGGCAGTGGCAGCCAGCCCTGGCCTTGGCCTGGGGCAAGAAATCCAGGGCTGGAGCTAGAGCCACAGCAGCTGCCTACCCCAGCCTGGTGCTCAAATCCAAGAAAAGGCTCCCCCCACCCAAGCTTGTTGGATGGGGGGAACCTCATGTTGGATTTGAGTAAATATGGCAGTTTCACATATCACTTCACATGCACAGCTGCATACACACAGGCACACATAGCCACATGTGCATGCACACAGGCATGCAGACACAAACACGTGTACACGCACGCAGATGTATGCACATACGTATGCGCGCACACGCATGCACATGCGCACACATATGCCGCCATTCATACACTCGTGCACGCGCCCCGCCCGGCCCTAGCGCAGTCCAGGCTGCTCGCGGCCCCCCCCGCCGGGTACCTGCACACTGCGCGGAGCTCGGCCGCAGTCTCCGGCGGGCAGCCCAGC